ATTTCTTTCCTTCTCCTAGTTTTTGGTTTGGTTTGTTCCTCTTTTTCTAGTTCTTTGAGATGTGACATCTGGTTGATAATTTATGATGTTTCTGTCTTGTTTCACAGTATTACTGGGGTACAAACATTTTGGTTACATAAATTGCCTTTGTACAGTTTGAGTCAAAGTTATAAGTGTGTCCCATTACCCAGTGTGCATTATACCCATTAGGTGTGAATAATACTCATCCCCTCCTCCTCCCTCCCACTTGCTTGATTTCTGATGAGTTTTATTTCCATATGTGCACATAAGGCTTGTTTGATTAGTTCCAATTTAATAGTGAGTACATGTGATGTTTGGAGACCATTCTTGCAGTCTTTCTGATACAAGCATTTAGGGCTGTAAATTTTCCTCTTATAGCTGCTTTTACTGTATCCTGTATATTTTGGTAGCTGTTATCCCTTTTGTCATTCAAAGTATCCTTTGGTTTCCATCTTAATTTCCTCATTGACCCAAGGATCCTTTAGCATCAGGTTGTTTAATTTCTATGACTTTGTGTGGATCTGATTGTTTCTCTTGAAATTGATTTCTAGTTTCATTCCACTGTGGTCTGAGAAGATCTCTAGCATGATTTTGATTTTTCTGAATTTGCTGAGACATGTTTTGTGACCTAGGTTATGAGAAATCTTGGAAAACGTCCCATGTGCTGCTGAGAAGAATGTATAATTCTGTAGTTTTCAGATAGAACATTCTGTAAATGTCTACTAGGTCCATTTGTTCTAGATTTTCATTTAAGTCCAGTATTTCCTTTTTAGTATTTTCTGCTTCAGTCATCTGTCCAGTTTTATTAGGTTATTAAGTATGAAGTGTCTGATTTCCTTAAGTAATACATTTCACAGTTAACACCTCTGGCATTTCACTTTGATTCTTCCTGTTCTATTTTTATTATGAAGGTACATCCTCAGTCATTCAAACTCAGGTTGTAGCATGTGATTATCTTTCAAATTTTACTTCAGAGCAATGTTTGTGAAACCATGGATAAGTCAAAAATTCAACTTATTTTCAAATATGAGTTCCATCATAGAACTAATGCAGCATGGACAGCTAGAAAAATCAAAGAAGTGTTTTGGAAGAATGTGGCTAATGAACGCACAGTATGTCGATGATTTGAGAAGTTCCATTCTGGTGATTTTAATCTTGAAAATGACCCATGTGGGTGACCTGAGACCAAAGTGGATAATGATGAGCTGAAAGCTGTAGTGGAAGCAAATCCTTATCAACCTATGCGTGAATTAGCAGCAAGGTTCGACATTATTATTCCAACAACATTGGACCATTTGAAACAAATCAGCAAGGTAAAAAAGGTGGATAGATGGGTTCCCCACTAATTAAATGAGCATCAGAAGAGAAATTATCTCAAAGCTTGCCTTTCTTTGCCATCACAACATACAGGTGAACCATTTCTACCCCATATTTTTACAATAGATAAAAAAATGCCTTCTTTTTGATGATTACAAGTGTTCAGCACAATGGCTGGATAAAGATGAAGTGCTAAAACATAGTCCAAAACCAAATGTTCATCAAAGAAAGCTAATGGTGTCTATTTGGTGGTCCAGGGCTGGTACTATCCACTACAGCTTCGTGAAACCTGGTCAATCAATTACAGCAGATGTCTACTGCAAGCAATTGGATAAAATGGTGAGGATGCTTGTGATTAAGCAGCTGAGACTGGTCAACAGAGACAGGCTGATTCTCTTGCAAGACAATGCCTGACCACACATTGCACAAACAACACTACCCAAATTAAAGCAGCTAGACTTGGAAACTCTCTGTCATCTACCGTATTCACCAGACCTTGTACTGACTATGACTTCTTGCAAGGAAAAATATTCAATTCTCAAAAAGCTGTGGAAAACACCTTTCAGGATTTCATCACCACTCTCTCTCCAGGCTTCTTTGCTGCTGGCATACACAAGCTACCATTAAGATGGCAAAACTGTGTCAATAGTTTAGGCACATACTTTGATTAATTGTACTGCTTCTTGTTTAAGATATAATAAACTACACTTTTGATTGGATATCAGATATTTCATATTTAATGGCCTAACATCATTGGTGTGTTCAAGTCCCCAGTGATTATGATGCTACTGTTTATTTCTTTTCTTAGCTCTAGTAGAATTTGCTTTATGAACCTGGGAGCTCCTGTGTTAGATACTATATATTTAGGATTGTTATGTCTTCTTTCTGAATTGCTCCCTTTATCATTACATAATGACCATCTTTTACTTGTTTTAACATTATTGATTTAATGTCAATTTACCTGGTATGAAAATGACTATACCAGATTGGTTTTGGTTTCAATTTGCTTGAAATAATTTTTCCCATCTCTTTACCTTGAGTCTGTGTGTGTCCTTGTGTGTTACATGGGTTTTTAGAGACAACACATACTTGGGAATGATTTTGATCCATTCAGTCAGTTTATGTCTTTTAATTGGAGCAGTAAGGCCATTCACACTCACTGTTAGTACTGATATGTGGGGTACTCTTCTGTTTGCTGTTGAATGACATATTGTTGTTTTATTTCCCCTCTTGGGTTATTATTTTATAAGAGCTGTGAGCCTTAATTTTGGGATGTTTTTAAACTTGCGAGTATCTATTACGCTCTTCCATATATAGTGCACTACTGAGCATTTCCTCTATGGCAGGTCTAGTAGCGACACATTCCCTTAGTGTTTGCTTTTCTGGAAAAATCTTTATTTCTCCATCATTTATGAAACTTAGTTTAGCAGGATACAAAATTCTTAGCTGGCAGTTGTTGTGTTCAAGGAAATGAGACACCAATCCCTTTGGCTTATAAGGTCTTTGCTAAGAATTCTTCTGTTAGCCAGATGGGCTTTTCTTTGTAGGTTACTTGTTGCTTTCATCTTGTAGCTTGTAGAATTTTCTCCTTCATTTGAACTTTGGGTAGGTTTCTATGTTTCTTGGAGATGTCCTATTAGCTATAGAATCTTAACTGGTGTTTGATGATCATCCTGCATCTGGATATCTGAATCTCTGGTGATATCAGGTCAATGGGGCATGGCCTGCTGGCTAGTGCATAAAACCAGGAAGCATGGCCTACTGCACAGCATGCAGATCTTCTGGGGAGTTGCCTGCTATGCAGTACGCAGGGTTCGGGGATATAGCCTGCTGGCTGCAGCATATAACCAAGGATTGTAGCCCACCACAGAGCACCGGATTCCACAGTAGTGTTGCCCACCAGTTGGCAGGCAGGGATGTGGGGCTTGCACTCTGGTTGGTGTTTCTTGTCATTGATACAGTTTTACTAACACAAATTGAGTATTTTAACCATCACACTTCAAAAGTACATGGTTTTAAGTCCATATAACTCAGACCACAAACTCAATGAAATCTATGGAAGTGATTCTAGATCCCTTATTCTCCAAAACTTCAGGCTCCACTTGTTACCCACTGAAGTTGACTGCATAAGGTAAATTAAATTAACATCTAGCACTGTATATTTTTACTGTCTTTCCACTAAACACTGTACTTCTTGCCTCATCTATTAAAATTATATATAGGTATAGGTAAATATTTGGTATATAGGTAAATATTTGACAATCACCCTCTGTTTATGTATGTTTATGAGTTTACGTTGGCTAAACATACATATACACACACGCATGCATGCACACACAATTTTTTCCTTTCTTGTGTGATATAGGGCATGGTGTTCCTTGTTAATTTATTAATGCTAAAATATAATAAGGCAGTCTTCCCCACTGCCTTTTGTAGTTCTTTATACTCCTTGTCTTTTATAATAAAACTATCAAAATAAATATTACTATGCCTCTTAGTCCATATGATCTTTAGATAAATCTCTAGATGATTTTGATAGTTTATGTATAATTATACTCAACATTAAAATGCTATTTGTATTAAGTAAATTGCAAAAGCTAAAATAACAACAATATATCTCTCATCTTGTCAATCTGAGCTGAGAGCTTTGTTACATGGTCACGATTTGCAGAGGTAGTTACATAGAACATTTCAAAGGGATGTCTTGTACAATCCCAATTTAAATCCCTTTGCTGATTTCTATCTGAGATAAATCCACTTATGAACAAGTTTCATGGGCTGGGGGAGCCATCAGGTTGATTTCATCCACAACTAAACAGGAAAAGGATAGTGTTCTCCTCGTTTTCTATTTCTTTGGGTCTACACAATATAGCTGACCTAACAGCTTGTTAAGCTGTTGATTCTGATACTTTCTAGTTTTATCACCTAGGATAAATCACAACCACTCCAGGTTTCAGTAAACTAATCTATACAATGAAGGTATTATAGATATTATCTCGGAGGGTCCTTCCAGGTTAAAAAAAATCTATAACTCTATGAAAATACTTACCCATAAAATAACAACATAAATGGAGAGAGTTACATTATTCAGACTATCTATAAAATTTTAAGAACACTCTTCTGTAAAAGTAGATCTTGTAAAATGAGAGTCTAGTATATACGCCTTGCATCGAATGGCCTAATAGCTAAGCAGTCTTTAAAATTCTTCTGAAATAATTTAGATATAATCCTTTCTGAAATCCAGGAAATAGATTTTAAATGATTTCAAGTTATCCTTATAGTTCAATATTTCCAAGTTAGATATCCTCTCTATCCTGAAGTTGGTGACAATCTTATTTAGTTTAATTCAGTGAATTCTATATTTAAGTAATTCAGTTACTCATATACTGACAAGTGAAAATTGTACCATTACACTTAAAATGAGTGAATTTTATGGCATATAAATTATATCTCAATAAAACTGTTTAACTTTATCAGAATTTCTCACAGGAAAACTGCCCTATATTTTGAGCTGTAGGTTATTTATTAGTAATTGCATTTGCTTGTTACAAACTTGCCTGAAAAAGTTTCTTTAATTGACAAGAGCTTTTCTCCTTTCCCTTCATTCTCTTTCCTTATATGCTAAAATGTGGCTTAATAAAGAAATTAACATGAATACTTACATGGCAAGAATCTGCTTCTCCCTCTTCCATTGGCTCATCAATCATTTTAAGACCATTTACCTGAAAAACATTGTTTAAAAACTGAAATTCAGGAGTATTAAAACAGAGTAATAACTTAAAAAAAAAAAACCTAGGCATTTCCCTCCACAATCTAACAAGACCCATGGTTTCTGAAAAACAAAAGGACAAAAGACACATAGAAGGTACTTTGAAAAGGAATGCTATTAACATGGTTTTAAGATTGTCCTTGAGAAACCTTGATTTTCAGAGCATTATGTTTCATTTAATATTGTTTAGAGCTCTGCAATAACAGATGATGATATACTAAGCATATGATCTATGTATTTTTCTTAGGATTGTCCAACCAAATATTTATGACAGGAAAAATAAATGCCATAGATTCTACCATATAGATACATTCAAAACAAATTACAATGAGAAGAGTTTTATATAATTGCATTGCTGTGTATTCCTCTCCTTTCATTTAGTTCAATTAAACTTCATGAGATACTATACAGAATAAAGAATAAATTATCAGGGAGAGATATAAGTGGTCACAGAAACAAAAGTATTTCAACATGCAAAGCTCATTAGGTAATACTATTCATTCTTCAACCTCTACTTCAAGAAAAAGTATAGAGGACTTAGATAGAGGGTCTACAAACTATTAACATAACCCAGGGGCCAAATCTGGCCTGCTGCCTATTTCTGCATAAAATTTTACTGGAACACAGCTGCACCCATTTGTTTCCATATTACTCATGGCTGCTTTCCTCTATAACAGCAGAGTTGAGCAGTTATGACAAAGACCTGGAAAGCCTAAAAATATTTACTATATTTGCCTCTTTACTTCAGAAAAAGTCCACCAAGCACTGATATAAGATGTTTCAAGGAACTTTACCACAGCCCATCTATAAATTTAAAAAGCAAATTAAATAGAGCATTTACTAACAGCCAAAATGGAATAAGCCTGTTAAGGCTCTTTCTTCCTGATTATAAACTAAAACTCCTAGAATACAAAAAGAAACTACTCAAGGATTCTGCAAACTGAACAATATCTAGTGTATTAGGGAGGGAAATCAAAATTTGAAAAATAACTCTGAATTCCTAGGGCTTATTTTTCCACCTTTATCTGCTGAATTTTACCTTAGGAAAAAATTATTCATAGAACTCCACAGTAGACATGAACAAAAATTCTAAAAGAAATCCCATGTTCTGTATAAGAACCAGCAAAATATGCACTTTTGAGCTTGGGATCATAAAAAGAACCCAAGTCTTCTTTTGTGTCCCCAATTTTCTCTTTTTCAACTCCCAGTCCTACTGCAAGGTAAGTTCTAATCAAGAGAAAACCGATCTCTCTGGCCAGAGGAAGGAGGGAAACAGGACCCTTTCATAAGTGTGAGGGTGATACTTATTTTTTTTTCTTTCTCTTCTTCACTTTATCTAAAGGGCAGCTCCAATAGTGTAAAGCTATGTGACAGCATGAAAAGCTAAGACTCTGAGAGAAACTCATGTTTCTGGCCAGAGTAAAAGAATAAAGGGATCTATGGGAACTGAAGAAAGTGGAAGAAATCACACAGGATAGAATAGGAGAGAAGGAGATCCCCTAATTCTGTGTATGAACCAAGACAAGTCCCGGTTTCAACAAGAAACTGCATGTGTGCAGGAAAGAACTAAAGAAGCATAGCAAAATCTTTGAGAATTGAACTTCAATATCAACTATTGCTCAAGTCTCAGACTAATCACTGAATTAGAACACAGACTGCATGGCACACACAGAGTGCTGACTCAAACACTCTGAAAATCGAATTAACATTGGAACCATTACCCAGAGAGGGTGAGACAGGACTTGGAAGTGAGAACCTAAACAAGTAGATTGCCTAATGAAATAAACAAATAAACAAACAAAATATCAACAGGTATCAATTCCAGGATGGCTCCAATGTTGAAATATCTGGCAAAGACTTTAAAGCAGTTATTATAAGTATGATAACACACCTGAATGAAATAATTAAAAGGTTTCACCAGAGAAACAGAAACTATAAAAATGAATCAAATTTAAATAATTATAGAACTAAAAATCTTAATGGCTGAACACTTTAAAAAATATTAGATAGGTTCAATAATAATGCCTAATAGGTATAATGTACACTATCTGGGTGATGGACATACTTATAACTTTGACTCAAGCAGTACAAAAGTAATCCATGTAACCAAAGCATTTGTACCCATGTAACAGTCTGAAATTAAAAATCGAGACAGCAGAGAAAACAGGAAACTCGAAGATAGATCAATATAAATCATCCAATAGGAAGAAAGAGAATGAGAATGTTTAAAAACAAATGAGCCTCAGGGACATGTAGAACAGTACCAGAAGATAACTGAAATCCATGTCATTATTATCCCGTTAAAAAACAGAGAGTAATACAGAAAAATTAAAGAAATGAAAGCAATTTCATTCATATGAAACTATTAGACAAAGAAATGTATAGAGACAGAAAGTAGTTTAGTGGTTGCTTAGGTCAAGGGTATGGGAAAATGGAAAAAATAGCTAAAAGGTGCAATGTTCCTTTTTGATTTGATGAAGAAATTCTAAAATTGACTGTGGTGATGGTTGCACATATTTGTGAATATAAGAAAAACATTAGATTGTAAATTTTTTTTTTTTTTTTTTTTGAGACAGAGTCTCACTTTGTTGCCCAGGCTAGAGTGAGTGCCGTGGCGTCAGCCTAGCTCACAGCAACCTCAAACTCCTGGGCTCGAGTGATCCTTCTGCCTCAGCCTCCCAGGTAGCTGGGACTACAGGCATGCGCCACCATGCCCGGCTAATTTTTTATATATATATCAGTTGGCCAATTAATTTCTTTCTATTTATAGTAGAGACGGGGTCTCGCTCTTGCTCAGGCTGGTTTTGAACTCCTGACCTTGAGCAATCCGCCCGCCTCGGCCTCCCAAGAGCTAGGATTACAGGCGTGAGCCACAGCGCCCGGCCTAGATTGTAAATTTAAATAAGTACATTATGTGAATTACATCTCAATGAAGCTGCTTTTACAAGATAAATTACTGAAATTTTCCCAAATTTGAAAATGTACAGTTTCAAGAAGCTCAATGAACCCCAAATAGAATAAAATTAAAGAAAGCCACCCCAAGACAAATCTTAAACTACTCTGAACCAAAAGAAAAATGGGGAAAAATTCTTAAAAGAAGTGAAAGAAAACAACACATTACATAAATGGGAATGTCAGATTGAACAATTGTAGAATTCTCATAAGAAATCATGGAGGACAGAAAATAGGAACATCCACCTGAAATAAATGGAAACTTATGTTAATACACAACTCTGTACATGAATGTTTATAGTAGCTTTATTCATAATTGTTATAAATTGTAAACAATCCAAATGTCCTTTAACTAGTGAGTATATAAATAGAATATTACTCATCAATAAAAAGAGAACTATTGATACTTGTAAGAGCATGGATGAATCTTAACAGTGCTTTGCTAACTGAAGGAAGCCACACCCAAAAGACTAAATATTATATGACTCTATGCACAAGTCACTCTGAAAAAAGGCAAAATTATAGGGAAATAATTCATATCATTTATTTCCAGGGGTTAGGGGTAGAAGAAGGGGAATACCCCTGAGAAATCAAAAAGAATAATCTATTGACACATTCAACAACATAGATGAATCCCAAAGGCATTATTGTAAAGAAAAGAAACTAAATTCAAAAGGCTAATACTGTAGGGTTCCATTTATATGACATTCTGAAAAGGAAAAATTATAAGGGTTGGAGAAAGATTAGTGGTGGCCAGGGGTTAGGGCTAGGGCTAGGGGTTGACTATAAAGAGGCATCACATGGGAATTATATGTGTGTTGGGGGGGAGGGGTGGTGGAACTATTCTTTATCTTGATTGTGGTGGTGGTTACACAAGTCTATGTATAACCTCAGAGCCATATGTGATAAAAAGTGAATTTTATCATATGAAAAATGTGTTCATATGGTAGTAATACTCACTGGGTGGTGGTCAGGTTGGGGGGAGTAAACCCATAGCTAATTGAAATGGGGCACACTGTATAGGGGAAGGACATGCTTGTAGCCCTGGCTTAAGTGTGGCAAATGCATTTCATGCAACCAAAATGTTTGTACCCCCATGATATCCTGAATTTAAAAAAAATGTCTTCTAATCCAAAAAAGAAAAAAAAAAGAAAAATGTTAAATCAATTTACTAAAAAGTAAATTATTCAGCATTATTTATTCAAATAGCGTCTTTATTCTAAACAAAAAAAAAATGGAAAACACATAAAGTTACCAGTGATGTCTATTTCGCTAATAGATCAATCAGTCCTTATCTTACTTTTTCTCTTTGCAGTATATCACAGGTGACCGCTCTCCTATTTGAGTTTTTAGTTCCTGTGATATCACACTCTCATTTTATCTAACTCCAATTTCTTTTACTGTTATTTTTTAATATCCTTGATACACTATAACTCCCCAGAAATGTACTCGCCTTCTCATCTCACTCCACATTCTTTACCCAGGCAGCTAATTTATTGACATGACTCACATTTACTCAGAGACTACTGTTCTGAGATCCTGATCTATATATCCAACTGCCTACTTAAAATTTCTACTTGTTAATCTCACGTCTCTCAAAAATAGCCAGTACAAAAAGGATTTAGTGATTCCCCTAATTCTGCTCTTCCTCCCGAGTTTCCCATTTAAATAAATGGCACTACTATCTACCATCTTACCTCAACAGAAAAAAGCAGGAAAAAAAAAAAAACTGTGACAGATTTATCATAAAAATAGAGAAAGGAGAATAGCAAAACAGTCCAGAAACCAATATTAAGACAGAATCCTGATAAGTAAAAGTTCAGTATAAAATGACTCTTAGAATGATCCACAGAAAAAGGATTATGCATTTAAAAGGATTTAAAAGGATTATCCATAGAAAAAGAAAAATACTGCTTTCCTCTGTTACCTTAGTTACTGGTTACTTCCTATTCATACCATCTTATGACTAATTTATCAGAAAGCCATGGGTCTCAAAGAACTAGAAATAAAATGAATCTGAATGAGTCAAAAGGATCACTCTATCCTGGAAATTATTTCAGTCACCAGAAATGGCCTTTAAAAACAGAACACTCCGGCCGGGCGCGGTGGCTCACGCCTGTAATCCTAGCACTTTGGGAGGCCGAGGCGGGTGGATTGCTCAAGGTCAGGAGTTCGAAACCAGCCTGAGCGAGACCTTGTCTCTACCAAAAATAGAAAGAAATTAATTGACCAACTAAAAATATATATACAAAAAATTGGCCGGGCATGGTGGCGCATGCCTGTAGTCCCAGCTACTCGGGAGGCTGAGGCAGGAGGATTGCTTGAGCCCAGGAGTTTGAGGTTGCTGTGAGCGAGGCTGACGCCATGGCACTCACTCTAGCCTGGGCAACAAAGTGAGACTCTGTCTCAAAAAAAAAAAAAAAAAGAAAAGAAAAAAAAAGAACACTCCATTACTCCCACTTCATTTACTAGGTACCAAGTTTTAATATAAGAACAATATAAGAATATTTATTCCCACAGAGGACCACAGCATTCACTGATACTTACTAAAATTTAAATCATTTTTATCTATGTGAAAAAAAACATTTTTGAATTCTCTATGATAATAAACCTTTATTTCAAAAATAAAGCATAAGTTGAAAAGATAAGTGAAAAAGCTGCTTCCCCCAATTAAGTGCCAAATGTGGAAGAAATAATTTGTTATAGAGGATTCTGGAAATTTATCAACAGTAATAAAAGCAGTAATAATTTACTCAGATACTTCAAAGCCTATGTGAACAAACTCTCCTAACAGAGCCTACTGAAGAATAATTTAAATATTTTATCAGAAAATAATTCAATAAATCATTTTCAAGTATGTTAGACGGAAATACTAAAATGAATCTCAGAAAATAACATGGGGCACTTCAAATCCACAGTTTTCTTACTATTATTGAGAAAAGCAGCTCACCAAGGAAAACTGAACTGAAAAAGAAAAAAAATATTTTCTCTTTCTGATCCTTGGAATTCAAGGTGGTATGGGAAACTGAATGTACAAATACATATAGTTTTGTAAAAAAAGGCTTATTGTTATCTGGTCATAATTTTAAGATACATACACCTAGCCTCAGTGTTAAACAAAGAAGTAATTTAACAGCACTCATGGCTTGGTGCTGAAAGATATACTGAAGAAGAAAGTAGAAAGATACACAACTAAGGAAAAGCTAGGTAGAAAGTAATAAGAAATATGGGTAACAAAACATACATAGGACACCAGTTTCCACAACAAATTCAATAGTATACAAATTTTCAAGCAGTCTCCAGGATCCACAAAATCCACCTAGAAAAAAAAAACAAAAAAACTAGTACTTAACATTAAAAGTATGCTTAAGAAGATGATATTCTAAAGAAAATTTATCTCTCAAATAAGCTTCATGTTTACATGTTAGTCACTGACAGCTTTTGTAAAGAAGAGTCCTTCAATTCATTTTTTTTATTTCATTTAAATAACTGAAGTAAATTATATCTAAACTTAGAGGTGGGTCCACATCTATCTGCAATAAAGGTCTATGTCCATAAATTGAACTAAGCCCATAACAAAATAAAACAAAGAAAACTACCAGTTCATCAATGTAGTGGACACTCTAAGATGGGCCCCCATGATCATCATCTGTTGGTGTTCATGAACTTGTATAATCCCTATCCCCTTGAGTCTGAACAAGACCTACCACTGGATTTCAACCAACATAACATGACAAAGGTGATGGGATTTTACATATATGATTACATTATATCATATAAAACTCTACAGACTCTCCTTGCTGATTTGATTTAAGTAAGTGGTCATGTTGAGGAAGCCCACATAACAAGAGACCGTAACCAACCTCTCGGAGCTACAGGAATCCTCTAGGAGCTGAGCTCAATACCTAGCAAGAAGCCAAGGACCTCAGTCCTACAATCACAAGAAAAGGAATTCTGCCAAGAAGCTGAAGGAGTTTAGAATTAGATTTTT